TCCCCACCCACCCTCCCCAACCCCTCCCCTTTGGTAACTGCTAGTCCCTTCTTGGAGTCTGTGAGTCTGTTGCTGTTTTGTTCCTTCAGTTTTGCTTCGTTATTATACTCCACAAATTAGGGAAATCATTTTGTACTTGTCTTTCTTCACCTGGCTTATTTCACTGAGCATAATAATCCTCCAGCTCCATCCATTTTGTTGCAAATAGTAGGATTTGTTTCTTATGGCTGAACAGTGTTCCATTGTGTATATGTACCACATCTTTATCCTCATCTACTGATGGACACTTAGATTGCTTCCATATCTTGGCTATTGTAAACAGTGCTGCAATAAACATGGGGGTGCATATGTCTTTTTGAATCTGAGAAATTATATTATTTGGGTAAATTCCTAGGAGTGGAATTCCCAGGTCAAATGGTATTTTTATTTTTAGTTTTTTGAGGAACCTCCATATTGCTTTCCACAATGGTGAAACTAGCTTACATTCCCACCGGCAGTGTAGGAGGGCTCCTCTTCAGGAGAATATCTTTTATAATCTTATAATATGAAAAGTCTTCCAAATCAAGATACTAAACTTGAGGCCACAAAAGAGGTTCTAATAAGTACACTAACATAAAAAAGGCAGAGCACATTGAGAAAAGTTGGGGCAAGTATCTTTATTCAGAAATTTTGATGGTATCCCACCAAAAACAGCACTGGTAGGACTGATAAGATAGGTAAATTGGATACAAAGTAGTTACAAAAATTAGTTAACTTTTTTTTAATACTAGTAATAATGATTTGAAGTATTCTTTGTAATTGATAAAAGAAACAAACAACATCAGTGGGGTATATGTACCCATGGAACATAATGCAACTTAGAAAATGATTTGCCTGTATATATATATATATGGGTCTGGAAAGACGTCTTTGACATTAAGTAAATGAAGTTACAGAGTGATTTGTTCCCATTTTTTGTTTACAAAGAAAGAACAAGTCCTATATGTGCATATAGCTTGAATAAGCATAAGTAAACCTGGGAGGGGTTGTAGTGGTTAACAGCAGAACCATGTGACTGCAGCAGCGGAAGGAGCAGAGCCAAGGAAGAAGTTCTACAGATAAACAGTGTCCAATACAAACCCTTTTTGAATTGATGCAAAGGAGCTGGAGTCACTCAGAAGCAATCATGACTGTGTATTATGTCTGTAATTTCAGTTACCTCTGACTTTTGAGGATGTTGCCATTTATTTCTCAGAGCAAGAATGGCAGAATCTAGAAGCATGGCAGAAGGAGCTTTACAAGCACGTAATGAGAACCAATTATGAGATTCTTGCTTCTCTAGGTAAGTCACGGAAGAGGGTCCTGTAAGAGGTCTCAGTCACTTGATGCTCCTGTTTGTCAGGTAGCCACATTTCTCAGAAATTAATTCAGAAAGGAATTTTTACCCTGAATCTTTTGTTAGTATTTCTGCTTTGCTAGTCCTTACTCAGGGTTAGACTTGTACATGAGAATATTTGAGCCAGTGTGTAAGGTGACTAAATATGTCCAGGCTTTTATTCACCACATACTCTCAGGTTGCCATGATTTTCCATGTAGGCGCATGCCTAGCTCATATCCATAATGTACCCTGTGTATCTTTAAACTCGGATACCCCTACCTGTCAGTTTTTACAGTTGGGTCTGTACATCCCAGAAAAGCTGATGTTATGTTTCCCAGCAACAGGATTTTGGAAGGCTATACACTGATATGTTCAACAGCAACTGTCTCCCTGTGGTTATGGTAATGAGAGTTCTTATTAGTCTTTTTGCTTACTTGGTCTTTATTTATCAACTATGTTTTTTTTTTTTTTTATCAACTATGGTTCAGTTCAGAGAAGCATCAAATGAATGATGAAAGTCCCTTGTTTCCATTCTCACCCTGCCATCCTGTTAATTCCCCAAAGGCAACCACTTTTAACCATTTCTGTTCTAGTTCTTCCTGTGGTTTCCTCCAATTTAGCTATCATGTTTTCACCTCTGTTTTTTGGTTTATCAAGTTTAAGCAGCATTAGTTAACTCATTACTGTGGAAAATGAGGCATTAGCTCACCCTATCCCTCTTCTATCTCCTTTTCTCCTTCTTCCTAAATTCTCAGGGTTTTTTCATGCCTCTATTGGCCACCTTTATAGGTGAAATAAGAAATTTCTAGATCATGTTCCATCAACTATTGTATCTCTTGACTCCTTCAGTATATGAAAGTAAGGTAATTAGTTCTGTAGCTTTCTCCACTTCTCCTGCCAGCTCCTGGCACCCATACCACTTCTTTTATATTGCAAGGTTTCTAATGTTTACATTGTGTTCCATTCCCATCATTAAGTTCTCCAGGCTTTATGTATAGAATGTTTTTAAAACATGTAATCCAAGACATCACAGTATTTTTATTGTTACTGCAGAAACAATAATTGAATCTATAGCGAAAGAAAGAATCATTTATCATCAATCCTGTG